GTGAAACTTCTGAAGCTGTTAAGAATAATGTTTCACCTGTTTGTACATCAGTGTGTTTTCTGCCCTGCACAGCTTCAGGAGTCTTGGGTCTGCTCCGCTCATGAGCTTGTTTAAGATCGGCAGCTTTCCGCTTGATGTGCTGCTGTCTCTGTATTTCAGCAGGGTGTGGCTGAGCTGTCTGTAAATGGGGCGTGACAAAAACACGTCTTTAAAATAAAGTGGTCTAAAGGAGAACAAATCAACCAGGAAGACAGCAAAGAAAAAATGTATATTTCAAACTTACGGTTGGTATGATGCGTTGAGCAAAAGTATTTCCTAGGACAATACCACGGTCATATGTTGTGCTTCCATATTTATCCGGAGCTTCTTTGTATTTGCTGCAGGTCTCCACAGCTGGGAGTCGGCTGGACAAGGTGTAAGTCCTGCTAGGTTTTCTGTGGTTATGAGGTGCAGACGCCATTTCTCAGGAAACTGTCACTTGTAATGAAAGCAATAAGGGCAAAATGTCTCTAATAATGGTAAGCTCAAATCATAGCTCAGTGTGGCGCTTCTGGTGGCAAAATAAAATTCCACTAATATGTAAAGGCAGTTGCCTTTGATGCCACACTGTTTAGAGGCAGCTGCTTTTGAAGATGGTGTTTCTAATTTTTAATGGTTCTTTTATGTACTTAGAGTTATTTAGTCACTTTTGTTCACCTGCTCTAAGAGTGATACCGTTTTTAAGATAAAATGTGTTTCTTGGGGCTTTTGGAATTCATATTTCATAATTACAGTTGGTATAATGTGTTGAGCATAAGTATTTCCTCTGGCAACACGACAGTCATACATAACGTTTCCATGGTTACTGTGTGTCCTGCGTTGTCAAAAAACTCAAAAGATGTCTAGTTTGTCCAGTTTGAACGACTGTAAAAAACATGTTGGCCTCCACAGAGAGGACCTTCTGCTGATGTAAATGTAAAGCATTTAAATATAAATGGCCCATTCTAGGGTAAACGACAATTCGTACAATTTAGATGAAACACACTAGTGAAAACATCACTAGGATTATTTTATATTCAATTTCTGCAAATAGATCCTTTCACCTTTAATCTTACAGACTAGAACACTGAAACAACACACCTCATAAGTCTTAGTACAACCTGTTGAGTTGAACACTTCCTCCACAAAGAAGTCAAAGGTGACCAAAAATTAGCATTTTCAGGTTTTTGATTATCATGGTGAGAACACAGAAGGAACAAAACAAACTATTATCATCGGCTGCGCTGCAGACTTCTGCTGCCACCTCTGCACATTTAAACGGTGCACATATAAAACAGAGCAGTGCAACATTTGCACGCGACAGTGAAATGTAGGTGGCATGTGCAAAGAAAAAAAGCTGGAACTTGCCTTGGCGCGACACAAACCACAAAGATTTTCAGCTCTGTGAAAAGTGTCAGAGGTTAAGGGAGCACCGTCATTTGTTTCTGCATCAGAGATTTTTGGTTAAGGACAACCGTGCCTCAGTTTTTCAGCAAAGCACAAATATACCACGACCACCTCAATGTCTACTATCACTCCCATCGATACCAGTACTCCAGAGATGATGGTGCCACATATTAGCATATTAGATTTGTTGCATAACGGGCAAAACTGACTGTTTACTTTAAATATCCAAACAAAAGGATTGCATAATATCTCCATGAAAACTACACTGTATTCACAACACCAGCCAAATATAGTCACAGCTGTGAAGTAAGACTCTGCTGGAGTTACATCATATGATCTTTTTTTATTTTTTAACTAATGTCTTTTCAGATGAGTGTGGAGCCCTTTGTGTCATCGGGGGATGGGATTTGCTCCCCTCCCTGCATGTTATATTGTTTGTGCTTCCACCGTCACAAATCATTACTCGTTATCGAAGGGGGGACTGTTCAGCTCGTCGCTGTGTTCGCCTCCTCTCATTAATGTTGACAGGCAGCCAGGAGGTTTGCATAATCAACCGGGCATACTTCCAACACATCCATCTTTTTTTTTTCTTTCCATGGAAGCGACTCACTGCATAAGCTTTTATTTCCATTTTTATTTGTTTAAGACTTGAAGATTTTATTCAATTTCGCACCATCGACAAACTTAATTTGAATATCTTGACTATTTCAAACTTAGCGTAGGAGCAGAAAAATAATGCACTTCTTCTGCTGTCTTGCTCGCTCCGCCCTCTGCAAATATCCCCATTAGATAGACAGATAGATTGATAGATAGATAGATAGATAGATAGACATACTTTATTCATCCAGAGGGGAAATTCTTGAACTAAGAAGGGACTAAGAAAGGACTTCTTATTTTTATTTTTAGACACACAGATCATGAGTCATAACGTAGACAAGGGGGAAAAATAGCTATTACTGAAGCAGCGATGTGCATGTGCTCTAAGTATAATAAGAGGTAACTATGTGGCAAAGCAAGCAGTTAGAGGTCAGAAACATACACAGTGCATGTACTGTAGTAATTGTATCATGTACAATGTTAGCGGAAGTACACAATAACACACAGTTGAGCTGTTTGATGGAATCTAATGCAACAGGATTACATTACTAAGCTGCCTAAGCGTAAAATGCTCAGTTTTATTGTGTCTATGATCATATACAGAAAAATCTATATCACTGAGGCCAAGATCATGAGTCCTGAGTGCACATGTGTAGATCGTGTGATTGCAACATAACTATCTCCATGGCAACTGAGCTAATATCATCCTTGGAGGAAGTCAATCAATCAATCAATCAATCAATCAATCAATCTGCTCACTCACACTCACTTGAATGAGTTAATTTAAAATAAACAACAGTGACCAGTTAAAGTGTAAATTCTTTTTTCTAAGTGTAACTATCCACAGAGCTTTAAATCCACTTGATTAAATTCACTTCATCCAGTTTAAAATTCACTATATCCAGATAAATATCAGTGAGTACCCCTGAACATGTCATTTTTCATCTGGCTTGTGATCATTTTTAAAGCTGCAGTTTGTGGTGTTCTTGTTTAGAGACAACTGAAAATGTCAATCAATGCATATCTAACTTGACAAAACAGAGACGATTATCAGATTCAAGTGGCCCATTGCTCATGTTCTGTTCTGTGATCAGCTGGTTGGATGTTTGTTGATAGACATGTGTTCTTCATAAAACAAACACTACAGCACACTCTGAAAATATATGACTGAATTCACAATCGATTAGGATTCTGGACGTAAGATACACAGCTCAAAATGACATAATCACCAAAAGGTAGAAGTTAAACAGCTAAAGCCGGACCAGGGTGTCCTTTATTTTTATCTCAGTCCATTCTATCAATCCATCCACTAACTCACTTCAGCTCTTCTAGTTCTGGCTGCAGTGTTAGCATTCACGGTGTTATGAAGTGTATATGAATTGTATATAAGATGGACGACATGACAGTTCCCAAAAAGTGAATCCAGAAGGTTTCAGCTGCTGGCAGCAGAACATAAATCCCACCTTCTCCATGTTAACAGATGGGACATTGAGAAAGGGACATGCCAAATATGTTTTTGTAATTTTAGGTAGTCCTTATCACACTGTTGTATGGTCAAGTTTTCATGTTTTTTTCAATTAAGCTTGTGGTTTTGTTGTGTTTTTTATTGCGTTGCAAGATCTTCCTCTTTGTTTGTTCTCCCTTGACATAACAATAGTGAGCGCAGTGTTTTTCTTTGACTCAGATTTTTATAAAGTTTATATTATATTACATTTTTAATAATTCCTGCAGTACAAGTGAAATGGATGTTTGGATAACAGCCGTTTATTCTTGTGTAATTCATTATTCAAAATGAGAATTAACAGAGATTATCAGTCTTACTCTTAAATTTCACCATTTACTTTAGCTAAATGAGGCTCAAATCAATCACATTGCAGGGTTTTAAATTCAAACAACTTGTCACAGGAAGGAAACAATGTGATAAAAAGCTGCAGAAAGGAAGGAAGACGTGGTGGCATCAGCTCATCTTGCAGTCACCGACAAGAGGAACAGCGATTCAGAGAAAAACCAAATCCGTCCATGTGACCGTGTCTGGTTTCCTTCTGTTTCAACAAACTGTGTGAGCCAGAACACGCTGTTCTCTCATTTGAGGCTTGTTAGCCGCTGTTATGCAACAGCCCTACAGAATAGAAGTTGACCCAAAGGACCTTTCTCAATGTTCCTAGAGACAGAGGAGAAAACTCACTTTTTTCTTTCAGCCATTTATTTTTCTTCTATCTTTGAACTAAAACAATTTATGATTCCTTGGCAAAGGTTACCATTCTCTATCTGTGTATCTATTTACATTTTCAGCAAACAAGTAAACAAAGCATTAATTTATCAGGAAAGTGCTTAAATGTAGTTGAAGAAGTAGCTCAAGGTGAAGAGGGTTTCCAAAAAAACATCAGCAGTCTGCTTAACATGCTCAACTGTACATTGTCTCTACAGCAATAAAACTGATAGCATATTTTCTCCATAGCAAACTGTGTTTTCATAGCTTCATTGCGATAGACTAAATATCTATCATAACATCATACATTTAATATCTGTACTCTAAACAGTACTACATGGACAGTGCAACCAGAGTGGCAGCACATAGCGCACATTCAAAGTGAAACAGTGATACATTTTTATTCACAAAACGATGAGATAAAGATAAGAAGTAGGAAGTAGCTGCTATTATAAGGCTACAGTAAGCAACACAAACCAACACAATAAAATTAAGCTTTCCAGGTTAGAAACCTTCTGATGTGGCCCAGAAGGAATAAGAATTAAAAAGACGCAAGATAAGTCCGAGATGTGAATCAGTTCCAGAGTGAATCAAACGTAAGACTCCTTGGCATAAGAAAACTCCTCAAACACAGGCTGACTGCATCTCCGTGACACAATCTCATGGTGGCTTTTAGACTGGGACTCAGACATGGCTCTCTGGCGGTAAGGATGTTGCCGCTCGACAACCCTGCTATTGTCCTGCGCTGCTTGGGAAATACAGTCTGTGAACTGAGTGACGGGGCAGGTAGGTGGGAAGTCATAATTCACAGAGGATGGGCGGGACCTCCTCTCCAGCGTCATTGCATCTTGTACAGTCATGGCTCCATACTGTGGAGGGAGGCCCATATTCTGCACTGCCCGCTCATATGGCGGAGGCTTGCAGGGCAGCCTGCTGTCCACCTGCTTAAACACCTCGATGGCTGACATCGGACGTGGTCTGTGCAGAGGCTCAATTGGAGAATCTGCTTCGCTCTGAGAGTCCTCCTGCAGCGTTTCACAAGGGAAGGAGTTTTCCTTCAGAGAGTCTCTCTTCAGGCTGCTCCTGCCGAACGCTCCTAGACTCCTGGTCCTCATTAAAACTTTACTGGTCACCCTCATAGACTGTGATCTCTTCTTCTCATCTGAAATCGGTCCGACAATGTCTTGTTGAGTCTTTTCATGCACTGACGTCGGGCTGGAGGTGTTTGTTCTCCTGGGGCGGGCTGGTGACCCCACTGGGGAGCTGGTGAAAACAGAGCCCTCTGATTGGTTTGAGGCAGCGCTCTCCAGGGAAGAGCACGAGCAGTCCTTGACGTGATTACCTGCCATGTAGGGCGACGGATCCAAGTTTGAGCAGCTGCTCAGTTTTGGAAAAGACAGGACCGGCCTGTGTCCTCTGAGCAAGAACGAGTCATCAGAGATCTGCTTTTTCAGAGGCTGCTCCTCAAAGTTCCTCCGCTCCATGGAGCAGTCCTCGTGGCTCCGGGCGTGGCCAAACAGGCTCTCATGGTTGGGCGAGGTGAGGATGATGGGCTCAGAGCATCGACGGTGGAACGGCAATTTGGGGTTGAAGGCGCTGTTCGATGCCCAAGAAGTGGGGCGGCTGGAGGGACTTAGAGAGGAGGATGAGCCACACCCTCCATGTGTGGAGCAGCTGCTCTCTCCTGCCTCTCCATCGCCATCTAAGTCAGTGCTGTCATACGCTGAGTCATGATGCTGGGACGACAGAGAGTCTGTAGAGTGAGAAAAGAAAGATTATTCGATCTCTGCATTTATTTTCATTTCTTGTTCATGCTGAGGAATAAAATAAAATTGCAACGTTATCTCTCTAACTACGGGCAGATACAGTTAGTATACCAGGGTGTATATAAACTCATTTGCCAGGTTCATGTTGTAGTTTTATTTGTGTGCTAATATCTGAATTGTTGAGAAAGAACTACAACACACAGAGACATTAAAACTATGCCAGTTTTCTTCAAAAGTAAAACAACACAAGCAGCGTTTACCTTCTCAATTGGTAGCAGGAGCAACATGAGTGCATGTTTGTTCAATAAATATATTAATGACAGAAATTATGAGGAGGTTATAGTTTTCATGTATAAATACCTGCATCAGAATCCAGCAGGTTGGGGATGTTTTCTCCAAGTATGTCACAGTTCTTGATCAGGACCTCAGTGAGTTCTATGACCTGCAGCAAATCAGAAAAATATATTGTTATTACCATATCAGCAACAATGTCGAGTGTAAGCAAAACTGAAAGATTTGATAAAGAATTCTGAAAATCAAAGCTGATAGAGGACAGATAGAGTCCAGACGCAGCGCTTCAACTATCATCACATGACTCAGAAAACAGCTAACAGGGGCGGAGCTGGTTTGACCTTACTTATGAAACCCATTGAGGTTTTCTGCTCTGTGAACCACAGAGCTTCAAAGTCCCAGAATGAGTGAAAACATTTTCACAAAACAACTTTCTACCTTCTTCATCTTTTCCTTCTGCTCATCCAGTGGAGCGCTGTCCAGCTGCAGCAGCGTGGGGGCGATGCACACCGCCAGGTTGTTGGCGTCCATTTTGTTGATGTCAGCACTCTCGAGGATGTGATGGAGGACGCAGACGAGATGCTGAAGGAGGAGTTTGTTGAGCCCCGGCAGCTCATCTACCACCCTGGTTGGCAGGTAGAAAAAAAGGGGAAGGGAAGGAAAAAAAGAGAACAGGAAGATTAGTTTGGCGGTCTTTTTTTTTTTCTAAAAGATTCTTCTTTTTTAAAAACAGAAAAAGAGAAGTGGTCTGTGCTCAGTCTGCTGGCAGATGACGCTGGGAATTATCTGCAAAACTCCGTTAATAAACATCTATTTCATACCCACCGCAGAAACAGTAACAAAAATACCAACAGATTTCCCTTCATATAAATAAAGGTCATATAAACACAAGCAGAGGATGGCAGATGCAGGAAATAGATGCCGACTCATTAGCAGGTATCGATTACTTACTTTGTGATTTCCAGAGCTCTCTGCTGAGCGTCTTCATTGTCCAGAGCTGTCATCCACTTGTTGTAAAGTTCAGACACCAGCAGGCTGCCAGGAAGTTCCTTCAGAAAACTCTGTGATAGACAGGAGGAGGACAGTGATGAGACAGAGTTAGTGATTAACAGAAATGATTTGACGTGACATCTGGTATTAAAAGGTCAGAACACTGAGTCCAATCATTTGGTGCAATATGTTATAGTGCACTGAATATTATAAAGAAAATGATTCTGGGATCTTGATGGAAAACATCAGGCTTGTTTGAGGGACTGATTAAGTGAATTTAAATGTGGTTTCATCATAGATCATTCAGTCAGTGCTTTTGCTTTTGGTATATTTCAATTAGTTAATAAGCGACTTTTGAACACTATAATTTTACAGTATAAAAAACAGTTAGTGGGGGTTTTCAGATGCATTTACCACTGTTTGAGACAGTGATCACACAGAAGAGGTGTGTGAAACGTACTTTGAGGAGACCGACGAGCAGAACGACCGGCTGCCCCTCCAGGTCGACCTCCAGGCCGCTGTTCAGCTGCTCTCTGACCTCCTTCATGTTCTTGATGTTGCACAGTTTCCGAAACACTCCCTCTGTGGACGGGCCCCTCTTTCTCAGCAACACCAGAATCTCCTGGTGAAGAGGAGATGAAGATGAGAGGAAGAGGAGAGGAGAGGAGGGAGAGAGGAGAGGAGGGAGAGAGGAGAGGAGGGAGAGAGGAGAGGAGGGAGAGAGGAGAGGAGGGAGAGAGGAGGGGAGGGGAGAGGAGAGAGAGAAGAGGTTTTCATATTAAAACAACAGACTGTGTGTGTAGATGTGTGTGTGTTTCCTGTTGCCATTCACAGTTTCTTAGAACTACTGTCAAACCTTGGTTGAGTAGGTTCCTGTTTTATTTGTTTATGCTCGTAGAAGAATTGCAATGTGCGTCTATCATAGTACTGATTTAGTTTTATAATTAATAAAACGATATCATTTGCTCTTGATTGTGAGGTTGAATGAAACAACTTGACATGAACTCTGATGTCTAAGGTTGAAAAGGCGACTTACTGTGACTGGTTTGGGGAGTGAGCAGCCATCAGGACAGATCTTGCAGAGGGACAAACCGAACAGCTGAGTCTTTGTGTCCGTCTCTGTCCGGTTTGCTTTGTTGATGAAACTTGAGCCCTTTCTGAGCTTCTTCACCACTTGGTTCCATTTTTTTTCTGGTGGAAGCAAAATGTCATCATCCATTGGTTTATTCAACAGTTGAATATTAACAGAATGACTTTGAACATGTCAAACATGACAGAAGAAAAAGTTGCACAAGACTCTGAAACTTAAGTTCTTCACTTGCTCCCTCTAATCACTTTGATTTCCTCGTCTGTGGTTGTTCTCTCTACTCTCGTTTTGACACATGGCACAGTTATTGAGCTCCTCCCTCCATCAAACATTCAACATTCAAACTCACCAGTGGGATTTGTCAGCTTGTCCTCCTGGTTATTTGACGGAACAGCTATCTTTGCATCGCCCTGGAAACAAAACCAACAACAAAAGTGATGAGCCTGCAAGAGGACATGAGCATGCAAAGGACAAGAAAGAGGGAAGAGGGTTGTGTGTTGTTTATTGTTTCCTCAGTCGCCATGCATCACACACCCTCACCCTTCATGCCTTTCAGTAGCTGAATGAGTTGCGGTTATATAATCATACAACAAAAGACACAAACAGCAAGCAGTTCCATGCATCTTTAGTTATTGTGTTCAGTTATAAAATCTATCTCAAAACCTTATGTGTGGACTTTTCAAATTGTTGTTCAATTTGCAGCTATTCACTTTCTCTGTGTGATTTCTCAACAGGGAAACTTACAGACGTCATTCACAACAGTCATTTTGCTGGAACATGTTAAATCTCAAGAGTTCAAGTAAAAAAAGATTGTGTACTTACATCAAGTGGAAATTGTTCCATGCCACCTCCTGTTAGAGTTTTAGTCTAAAGGTTGGGGAAAACAAGAGGACATTTATGTGTTGATTAGTAAAGGCTTTTTTAATCGAATATGTTGTTTTCTACGGCGGAGCGAGCGGTGTGAGACTCACCGTGATGCTGCCACTCAAAACCTTCATGAGGACGTCAGGAGGTGAAAAGGCACAACCAGCCCTCGTCTTTGTGTCTTTAATTGTTCTGTGACAAGAAAGAAACATATATTTACTTTTACTTGCTTTGTACTCATCATGTATCATAAAAAATGTTTTGTCTGTTATTCCAAATGACTGTGTTTTAACCCAACAGGAGATCATTATGATGTTGTAACGTAATGTTTTAGAGTAAAAGAGACTAAATTAATAAATGTCTTCATCGTGAGGGTACGCTATCATGTACGCTATATATAGAGTCATTGACCTCATGTTACCTATAATGTTAATGAAAACACAATTTGACGAAAATAATTTCAATCGAACAAATTTCAGAGTTTGATGTGATCGGAATTTTTATAAAAGGCACCATTGATCAAAGACACTAAACAATCTCGCTCAAGTGCAGTAAAAATTATTTCTGATTATGAGAATAGAATGAATATCTATGATAATTTCTTAGTCTAAACATCAACATAAATTTGTGTCCTACCTGTGAAGAGTATCTAACCAGCGTTCTTTCACCTCAGGTGAGCTGTGGGCGAAATAACAGCATGGTATGAGTTACTAATCCACAGAGAGAGTCACACAGATGACAGTGGGAGGAATGAGACGATCGGGCAGCCAGAGCAGCTTTTAACAACTCTGGGGGAAACTCTAACTCAGTCATGGGAACAGGAAGCAGCATCACGGAGGCCCACAACCAGACATGTTCCACTTCCTCCTAGTCTGTGTTTGCTGTTTGCTTGATGTGCATCAGTGGAAACAGGACAGTGACACTGATACGTGTGCCTACGTGTGTTCACCTGAAGGGCTTAACCTTTGCAGCACCATATGGACACACAGTATGCATATTAAGTAGGGAGACAGCTTAAGTGTCAACAAGAGACACATGGTTTCCTGTAGGCTCCGTGAGACAGAGTAGGAATGAAACATTGACAGCTGAATCATTACCAGACTCAAACAGCCAATGAGAAAACAGCATCTAATTTTCAAACGCTCAAAAGTCAAAGATTCATCGCCTTCTTGGAACAAAGCCTCATGGTTTGAGTCTAATTACTTTGCAAGAAACGTGGGCGACAATGCACAATAAAATGGTGAAATTTCCAAACTGAATCATTCATTTAGAACCTTCTCATCACAAACCATTTACCGTCGGGAAACTGAAATGCACTTTCATCCTTCTATGGTCGATGACACTGTCTAGATGAGTGTGAAACAGTATTTTCTCAGGCACCTCAGCTTTTATCGTAAAGGCCAGTATTTCCAGATTCAGTCAGCTGATTTCAGCCCATCACATGAAGCCCGGTTTGCCGGCCAGCTTCGCACTTCCTATTTTGCAACCTCTCGTCTTGTGATTCTGGAGGGAGTACTTTCTCTTTAACTGCTTCCCCAAAAGATCTTATGACCGTGAACTACGTGTGGATACTCCATAAGCAGCCTCAGGTTCCATTCATGACTTTAATAAAGTTGATATGAGAACAACTTTGAAACCTTTAAATGTTATTGGTTTATTAGAAATGTGCTCATTAGCTTGTTGAGACTTATTGCTGTTCTTATTATACAGCCAGCAGACAGTTGGTTTAGCAACAAGATTTGAAACTGCAGGAAGTAGCTGGACTGACGGAAATTCTAATTAAGGTTATATCTGGTGCAAACCCACAAAGCCACTACAGTTCTATTAAACATGAATAAACACGGACTTTGGATGCCGGCCAACTGTCTTTGAATGAATGGATGAATTAGTGTGCAGACTGTGTTATCTGTGCTGTTACTGATTATTAAAATGCATGTCTGCACTTTTTCTTGATAAAACATGTTGGTTTCTTTTATATATATATAAATGCATAATGATGACAGCCTTGCAGGTTGTGTAGGTCATGCTTAATTGTCTTGCATATGAGCCAGAGACTGTAATGGAAGATGGACGACATGTCTCCACTTCTACCTGTTGAACAAAAATGAAGCTAAAATATCCAGGATACCGTTGCCGCCATCTTTCACCCTGTTTTTACGGCATAAAATAATTAATTGAAACCAAACTTACTGCAAAATTTTAACAAACCTACCATCAGTGTGATTACTTAAAATGACAGACACCATCTTTTGAGAATCATTTAATTAGTTCTTTGATTTTTGATTGTCTTACTTTGATTTTATATTGCTATGTTTACACCTGGTTTTTGCTCTTTCGCCTCTTTCTCAGGAGCTCTGTGACATTTGAATTTCCCTTTGGGGTTTACTTAAGTATTTCTGGTTCTGATTCTGATTCTGATTACAACCAGAGGTGGGGCGTGAGAGGAAACTGAAGATTGTCACAGGCTCATATGGATAAACATTCTTGAACTTTTGTGGTCAAATCAAATGACTTCATGAGCTGCTGCTTGAGTCATTTGCTGTGTTTCTGCTCACCGAAAACACACCAAAGAGAAAGTGAGAGCCCAAGCCAAGACAAGGGTCACCCTCAGGTCAATATCCCCCGTCGTTCCCTCTTCATCGTCTGCCTCGTCTTCAAAACCGTAGACCCAGATGTCCCTGAGGCTCACTCTGTGCTTCAGACGGTAGCTGGCAGTCGACCTTTTAAAAAAGAGAACCAAGGAAAAAGTCCTTTTTAAATATTAATGTCTGCTTCCATTTCTTACTGACTTATTCCAAGATTAGAAAACTGTTCAATAATTGTGTCGATGAAGATGGAGCTTGCTGACCCTGATGTGTTTGGAATAATGACATCCTGGAGTGTTGATGGATTAGAAGAAGAAACACGTCTTATAGCACGAGGAAGAGAGGACTTCTCTTGACAATTCAAAGGGTGTTATGGTATCGAAATGAAAAAGCAAGGGAACACATGGGGAGAGGTAGTATGGAAACGCTGTTTGCATGAATGGACAAACACAATGGGTTGAAAGTGAACTACCCCCCAACAGTGAGCACTCTTTGTTTTCACAGTGGGTTTTACACAACACACACAATAACAACCAACACCTACATCCTGCAATACTCTGTCCAGCTACCCCACAGACTATTTCTGTTTATTTATCATTATTAGCATTGACCAACATCTACCAATCGCCAGCATGAGGTCAAATATAGACGAATAAACATATGACATACGAGACAAAGCCCCAAGATGAGGTTTAAATACTGAGAGTAATATTAAAGGATCTGTGTTGATCCACACTAGAGTCAGGGAAGGTTTAGCCTTGCCTTGCTTAGTGTATATGAGATTTATTTTTGAGGTATTGATTTTGTGGATTACCTTATTTTCTAAGTAAAGTTTTGGAGCACTTGCTTATATTTGCTTTTTCCAAACAAGCAGGACAATATCTTCTAAAGCAGTTATCATATCAGTTAATATTGGGATTTGCTCATTCCTGCACCAATTTGCCTTTCAAATAATTATAGTGCCCTGGTGTTTTTCTGTGGCCTCTGGGAAACGGATTGTTAAATGACTCCCTGAAAAGCGTTTTTCATAAACCGAAACGATCAGTCAATTGCTTTTGATGTTTGAAGCACGTGGCACCTTTTTAAATACTTCTTCACTACAAGCTGACTGCTGACTACACGCACTCATATCTAGAAGTAATCGTGGTAGTACACACAGAAACTCTTAAGTGTGTTTGCTGTGTTGTATCGTAGTGCCGCTTGTGCTGTCTACTGGAACAGTGGGCTGGTTGTGGTACATAGATGAGCGTGGTTGTCCTCCCACGCAAAAGCCTGAAAACTTCCACCGGCTTCAATAAACAGCTTGAAGATGGAAGCTAAGGAGCAACTTGAAACACGTTTATATCAAATCAATTAGTTTAATTAACCTGGGTAGAACTCTGGAAAATGTAATTAATGCTCTTTCCATCCTCCAAGAATAAATTTAGAGTTTCTCTATACCCACACGATATCTACAGAAAGAGATTTAAACTGAATATTTAATTCTAAAACATCTCAAACCTGCTAGAGGTCACTCAATCTAACAATGTCCGATGTTTGTTGACGTCATGACACAGTGTGGGATCATGGGAGTTGTTCTCTTCACCACTATAGCCGATGAAAATCTACACGACTCGTGCAAATCACGTGCACAAATGAGGTAATGTTATAACGTTTTATTCACATTACGCAGCAAACGAATAATCGTGATCGATTCCGAGTGACCAATGCAAACTGCGGAGGAGAAAACACTGCACACAAACAACTAGCTAGCAAATAGTTTGACATCATTTCTGCAACATTGTTTGGCTCGGAAGTTTCGTCCTGTTTTTTAATGTTGCTAAATATAAACACTGTCTCATGGTGATTTCCAAAAAAGCTCTTATGTTTCATGTGTGTAATGATTTGTCAAGATGAGTTTTCAGATGTTTCAGCATCAAAATATTTTTCAGACACTCTTGTCAGAAAGAAATGTTTTTGATTGAAACTTCAGCTTCAGTGTTGAAATGAAGAGAGTTCAGTTTGAGATTCCCCTGGTGTGACCAGGAACCACCCTACTTTCATCTTTCACATTTGTTGTAAGACAGAATGACTAAACACAATAAACCGTCTGTTGGGAGATCCCCTGAAAGGCCAAGTATATGATAAAAAAAAACACATCTTGTTTTTACTTCCCCTTTTGACTTCTCCCATTCCAACTGTAAACACGTGTGTCATATTTCAGCAGAAACAGTTTGTATTTATCGTAATTGTGTGTTTCCTCCATTTTTTAAGTTGAATTCAGTGGCGTCCCCGCCGTGTTGTTTTGTTCTTATCTAGAATAAATTGTTAATCACCCTCTCGTGAATTGGAGAATACATTTAGTGCTTACTTGAGTTTGGTGAACACAATGACATCACTGAAGAGGAACACGTGTCTCTCCCTGGTCTTCGTGCCCTCGGTGACCTGGACGCACTCATCCAGCAGCAGCTCTCCGTTCTCGCTGGTGAGGCCGAGGACGAATGGACTCTGCTCCACAGACACCCAGCAGGACACCTCCTCCCTGAGCGAGTGGACACACAACAGAAAAGAGGGTGGGTGACAGGGAAGTCCCAGACCAGTCTAATCTTGGTGATTATATTATCTCTCTGATAAATTGAATAAATAAATGGTTTTTTTTGTGGGTTTAGAAAAAAACAACAAAGTTTGTAGTTGGAACTTCTCATTTCAACACTTTGGTTTTCAAGGCAGCTTTGATAAAACTATTTTATAATGTTAATGGGGACATTTTGTTATAGGCTCAAACATAAACAAACAAGAGTAAATCAAATTGTAGTTGATGCGGATTGTGTTGCAGACACAGATTCTTTAATCTGATTGTTTTTACTCTTGTTCAGGTGTCAGGTGAAAAATGGAGCGAAACACGATGACTGACGGCTGAGACTGACTCGTGATTGGTCGAGTGCATGCATCAGAGAGACATCAAAACCGTGGCACCATCCCCCGATCGCTGCTGTGCAGATTTTAACTATAATTTACAGGTTGTGAAATATTTTTGTCACATTGAATTATGCTTATGCATGCTTATCATTATGTTCTCCAATAAAGATTTGAAGCACAGAGAGAGATTTGTGGAAATGATTACAGTCCGCTAATGATGTGGGAGAACAGGTTCATGATATTTTCACAGCTGTTTTATATATTTCAAATCAGCCGCCTGACACATAGATATGAAGCTATTTCCTTTCATTTTATTTTCTATGAGATTCCAACGACGTATTGAATACATTTTGCATGAGAACATTATGAAAGTAGATGTTAAAGAACTGAATTGGTATTCATGAAAGAAGTGGTAATGTGTAATTGTGGTCATCACAGCCAAAAGAGTGCATTAGCTATTTAACACCGAGCCAATATTCCAAGAAATGTGTTCTTGATTTACGCGTTACAAAAGATTTGAGAGATCCTAAGTCATAAGCAACGATATCCTGAAGGCAGAAAAATCACATTAGAGCTAACTGAGCGGTTTAGTAAGTAAGTTCTTCAACTCTTAAGTCAGAATGTCTTGTCCTGAATAACTGTTAAACCCAAACAGGTCAATACTCAGATTCACGTAACAGTGCATAGTTGTTTTTCATTTTCTTTTTGATCATTTCATGTTTAATGACCTGACAACCTTAAATCCCCCGACAGAGAAAATAAATTGGAGAGGTTAGAGGGAAAGTGAAAATCACTTCACCAAATTCTGTTATGCAATGACATCACAAGTGGATTTTAATGATGCTCCAGTTAAAGGTTCAGTGTGTAGAAGTTTGTGATATTTAGTGTTGAAGTTGCATGTTGCAGCTGAACTTCCAAACATAAAAAAGAACCTGTGGCAGCTTCAGTCGTCATAAAAACTCAAAAGGTGTTTAGTTTGTCCAGTCTGGACTAATGTAAAAAACATGGCGGCCTCCGTAGAGAGGGTCCCCTCCATGTAAATATAAAGTATTTAAATATAAAAGGTCTTTTCTGTGGTAAAGGAAACTACAATTCATACAATTTAGATGAAACAAACTAGTGAAAACATCATGAGGATTATTTTACATTACATCTCTGACAAAAGTTCCCTTTCACCTAAATCTTACACACTGGACCTTTAAGGTTGATGAAAACTGGTCTGAGTGACAAGTTGTGACACTGCAAACTGCCCGACATCATCCATGATGACGGTGTGACTGCTGTGGAGCTTTAGTGATTAGATTGATTCCTCTTTGAAGGACTTGAACACGACTTGTCATATTAAATTTATACATCGACCGGCTCCACTGCGTAAACATCTTGATTAAAGTAAGGCAGAGAGAGAGGACTCATGCTTTTATTTGAAGAAAAATGTCAGGTATGTGCTGTGAGGTATCAACCGGATCTGATTTCATTACACTGGTGTTAACAGACTTTACCGGCTCAGGCTTGGTTCTTTAATTAACTGAAATGTACACAAAGGAAAGTCCGTCCTGCAACATCTTTGAGTTCAAACTTCAAAAACAGTGTTCAAACTCAGATCTGCATCAAATTAAAGGTAAAAAACCTTATCTCGCATTCCTAAAGAAAGTGAAAGAAGATCCCGGATCTGTCCCCTGATCCAAATCAACATTTCAAAATTAAATAGGTCGTTTCTTGACCTCGCATCCTACCATCACGATTCACAGTAATCCTGCTAACTAACAAACAAACTAACTAACAAACATAAACGCCTTTAGCAGAGGTACACATTATTTCTTTAAAGAGAAACACACAAATCTAGACATGTTGTTGGTCTGTTGTGTATCTGAAGCGCTCAACATGTACCACTTGTTTGTTCTGAAAGACAATGAAACCAGTGTTGGTCATCGCTCTCTTCCCACTGTCTTCAAATGGTGTAGAAATTCAAATGTTGGCAGTGCAGGTACTTTCCCTGTTTCACTTCTGACCTACTTAGGATCGTGTAAGATACAAGCAAACATAACAGTGAGAAAACTGCAGCTGCTGTTCATCAAGATGAAATGACCTTAAACCACAGCTGCTCATCTTAAATCTTTCATGTTATTACTCAATTTATCAATAGCTTTGGAAAATATACTTATTCACTCTCTTGCCTAAATGAACATTAAGATGTTTAAGGAGTATTTCATTAAGGTAAAGTATTATCTTATCAGACAGCCTCCCTCTGTCTGCAGTACAGTAAAGTGTGAGTTAGCGTCTACGTCAGTCCCACCACAGTGAAACCAACGCCCACAAACCCGCCCTCCAAACTCAAGGAAAGGCCCAACGTGTGAACGTTGGGATTTTTTGGTCTGACATTTTCGCCCACCGGCTGCTCTGGTGGTCTTTGTAACTACCACGATAACAGCTCTGAAAGGTTAAAGAGTTAATATGGGAGGAGGTGAAGACAAGAGCCCACACTTAGAGAAACAGACCGTAGGTGCATTATGACGTTAAAAATGTTTTCCTGAGGGGGCTGAACATAAACCAGTCCTGCACAGTGACTTTTCTTTCAAACCGAAGACCGAGGCTCTGATGAGGGTTACTCTTACAGGGAAGAATCTCAAATAAGGTTTTGTTTGGAGTGTAACTACACCAAATACGGATGTTTCAATTGTGTACTGGATTTCGTTCATTCACTCCATATCCCCAGCACTGTTTTGTGAATAGCATATATAA